TACCTTTCCATGTTCTTTCCAGGGAAAGATGGAAACGGGAAGACAAGACAAGTTGGTGCCTATACATAAATGAGAGAGGGGCTCGGGTTTCCCACTAAGAGTTAGATCTGTGCTCAGGCATTAAACCAGAGGTCAGTGGGCTGCTGAGAGGACGAGGAGGAGGAGGAACAGAATTCCTAGGGGTCGAATCAGACTTAACCCAGAAATTCGAGTAGCAGGCTCTTCGATGTGAGCCTGTAACTCCGTTCCAGATGTGGTTATGAACTCAAGCGCAAATCCAAGTCAAGATTTGCAGGCTGAATGCATGGAAATAAAACCATGTGGACAGAAAGGGGGTGTCCATTTAGCCGTGGCCACAAAGACCCAGAGCCGTTCTTGAGATGGCTCAAGATATTCTGAGACATCTCAGGGGCCCAAGAGTCAGAAATGAAATCCCAATCAGAAAGTGTAATCCCTGACATCTGGGCGTCGCCTCTCGGCTTCCTAACTGCCCGCCTGTCCTTTACCCCACAGGGCGGCTGCTCTAACCGCATTTCACTCATGAGGAAACTGAGGCTCAGAGCAACCTGATTCACCAGATCAGCGTAGCAAATAGATAAAATTTAGGTCTGTCAATTTCCAGTCCAAAGATCTTTGTGAATATACCTTAGTCCAACAAACATTTGCTGGGAACCAACTTATTTAATAATTATAACACTATAACTGATACCTTCCCTTTACTACGAGCTTACCAGGGGCCCCATGGGTTAAATGCTTTAGAAACATCAATTTCTCTAAGCCCCAGGAAACCCTCCCGACTTGCACCCAGGTTGTCCAGATGAGGAAACTGGGTCTTATAAACGAGGGATTTGCAGAGATGAATCAAACACTGATTCTGGATATGAGAATGTGTATGTTTGGTGGTGGAGAACCACACACAAAAAAGATCGATTTTCAAGTGCCCTGTGGACTGAGTTTGGCAGTTTAATAGTTGCACTTCCTATTCAGGACAGGTAAACCAACTGCGGTGGAACCGGGTCTCTAGCTGTGAAAATGAATCAGCCTAAATTCCACTCAGGCTGTATGGAATAGATGTACAGACAAAAACGAAATTTAAAAAGGAGATGGCAGAGCTCATAGGGAAAGCCAGCCGGGGCAACGAAAAAAATTAGGAAGTTGATCAGAATTCCCCTTGCAACAGAAGAGTCACTCCAGGAGGTCGAAGCGGCAAGTACGGGGGAGGGAGCCTCCTAGCCCGGCGCCCAGGCCAGGTTGGCGGGGAGGAGACGGGAACTCCCCGACTCATCCGCCCTGGTTATCTCAATCAACTCTGATCTGGAGAGAAGTTTGTAGGTGGGCGTCGCAAACGCCCTGAAACTTTGCAGAGGGCTGTACTGTGCATTTGTTTTTCTCAGAGGAATCCAAGACCTTTCCCCAAAGTTATGAACCTTGGGTTTAGATATTCAGATGAGAATTAGGAAGGAGTGAGGCAAGGGGGTCGCGCAAATCTTTGCATTAGTGTCCTTTCCCCAGGCTATCCCGGCGTCTAACCCAACGTTCACAGTCGGGTGCGCCAGAGGGAGAGAGGGGCTGGGCGCAGGCTGAGAACCTTCGGGTCCGAGGGGAACGCGACTGTATTTGAGACGCGGACCTGGGAGGCGCTGGGGTTGCTGCCCAAAGGCAGATGGAGAGTGAGAGCTGAGGGGGCAGGTCGAGACCGGCCAGACGGGTGGAAAGAGGAGAGGAGCTGCTGCTAAGTCACGTCAGTCGTGTCCGACTCTGTGCGACCCCATAGGCGGCAGCCCACCAGGCTCCCGTCCCTGGGATTCTCCAGGCAAGAATACTGGAGTGGGTTGCCATTTCCTTCTCCAAAGAGAAAAGAGGAGAGGAGGAGGTTACTCAAAAAAAGGTGAGTGGCCAGAGAGCCGGGAAGCAAGAGAGCGCAAAGAGCCTGGAAAGGTGGTGGTGGTGGAGTGAAGCGGCTGGGGTAATGGTGAAGGAGGGCAGCGGCCAAGACCAACTTCTCACGGCCCAGGCCTGGGGTAGACCAGACACATACTCGGCGCTCAATCCTGTTTCTTTCTTTCCTCTCCGTTCTGGGGCAGCTCTGCCCAACAGGGGTGGGCGGGTGGGTGGAGGGCCGTCGAGGCAAACGGCGCCCTAGGGTGACTCTGTATCACCCTCAGGACCCGCCTCCTCCTCCATTCCCGCAGGGTCTGAGTCCTGCGTGCCCGCCAAACCGAGCCAGCTCGAGGGCAGTATTCCACTTGATGGGGCGGGCCCCAGAACCCGGGAGACACCCCGCCCAGGCCCCTCGCCCCAGCAGTGGAGGGGCCAACGAGGAGCAAGGGAGGGGGCGGAGTGCGACCTAGTTAGAGATCGCCCCCCCGCCGCCTGCCGCCCGCCCTCTCCCCCAGGCCCGGCCAGGTCCGGCCGAGCCGGCAAGGGTTAAAGGCGGCCGCAGGTGAGGTGGGCGGGGCCGTGAATTCGGGGAAAAAGGAGCGCAGGGCAGAGGATGAAGGCAGAGAGCGCGGTGAGTCACGGGCGGAGCTGGCCTCGCTCGCTTGCTCGCCGGCTCCCGCCCGCCCTCCGCCCTCCCGCCGCCTCTCTCCGCCCCTCCTCCGCCGCCCGCCGCCGGGTCTGCTCGCTGCCCCCGCTAGCCCTCGGCTCCTGCCGCTCGCCGCTGGAGTGCCCGCTGGAGCGCGGGGTTCAAGAGCGCCCATCGGGAGCGCGCCAGCCTGCCGTGCGCCGGAGCCCGAGCGCACACTCGAGGTAGGAGCCCGCCCGGGTCGGGGCGGCAAGGGGCGCGCGCATTAGGGGTCTCCTCGGAAAGACGTGCCCGGAACGCGCCGCAGGTTCCTCTGGCCTCGGGGGAGGTGGTCCTAAAGAATCTGAGGGGTTTAGAGCCCCGGTGGAGTGAAAACGGGGCGGAAGGGAGAGGCTGGAGACTGGGGAAACGAGCGACTGGGACAGCTGGAGGACTGGAAACTTGAGGACTGGAAGTACGGAAGTCCTAACCACCTGAGCGCCGGTGATGGGAGAGGCAGCCGGCGGAAGAGGGAAGAAGGGTGTCTCTCTACCCGCCTTCCCGCCTGGGGAGCCGCAAGCCCGGGTACGCGCCCGGCTGTCTCCCTTACCGAGAGCTCGATAGCAGGCTAATGCCTTCCAGGATTGGGCTCCCTGGCCCTGTGGCTGGAGAGGCCACTCTGGAGCCTGGATCGTTAGCTTGTCCCCCAACCCCCACTCCAACCCCTGGGGCAGTTCCCAGGCTCCAAAAGCTATTAGGGTCCCAGACCTCTCTGCTCCCACCCAGCCCCTTCTGGGCTGCCCCGCCTGGGCCTGAGGCTCTGTTCCTGCCGCTTCACCCAGTTCCTTTCTTGTGGTGAGGCAGCAGGAGCTTGAGTAGGCGCCCTAGCGCCCTTCTCCCTCCCTCTCCCAGACAGCCTAGGCGACCTCCCTGGCCCCCCCAGAAGCGAAAGATAGTAAGGTCATCCAAATACTGATTTGGGAGGGAAAAATCCCTGCTCTAAACCACTGCGTCTCCTCCTGCCACAATCAGTGAAGGCCCAGGCACCCGGACTCACACACTCCAGGCATCAGGGCAGGGCTCCCAGATCTTACTGAGAGGTGGTGAGATGAGGGGGACCTTCAAGTGACAGGTATGTGTTCCAGAAAGGGGCCCACTCTTTCTAGAGTGGGGTGGTTTTTAGGTTCCCAGTGGTTTAAGGAAAGAGAAATAGACCAGGAATGGAGACCTGGTTCACGGAGATACAAACTAGCTGATTGAATGAATAGATTGAATGTCTTTTTTTCAAGTGACTTTTCCAATTATGGCTGTTTCCTCTTCTTTGAAATGAGGATTGAAAAATAAAATAAGAGGATTGGCCAGGAGCAGTGGTTCTCGACACTTGGTTGCATGTTAGAATCGTGTGGAGAGCTCCTAAAAATGATCCAAGTCTAGAATGCACTCCCTGTATAATATCTCTGGGTAATTCTTCCTCTTAATTTCTGCGCGATTCTGGCTTTTCCTGTTGCTTCCCCCACTCTGTCCCTGAATCCCTTGCTGGTAAGCTCTTCTCTGGCTGACCCCTTCTCGGGGGAAGCAGACCCCTCCAAGCTTCATATCTGGGTCTCCCCTAGATTGGAGGAGGGCAGAGGTAGCAGCCAGAAAGCCGGCTGGGCACTGGTGTAGGTCAGGCCAGAGACAGGGCTTAGCTTTCTCTGGTGGAGAGACGTCCTCTGAAAACTGGTACTGTAGCTGTACCCCAGGAAGGTGAAGTCCCTGCTAGAGAGAAAGGGAATGGGGTCCAGGTATGGGAGTGGGTTTGGTGGGGCTGAGGCAATCCAGCCAGGCAGGGAGCTGCGGGGAGTGGTATAGGGCACAGAAATGCTCTTCTTCATTGAGCATGCCTCAGGGATGGAAAGAGGGCTCTTTTTCTAAAACCTCAGAACCTGCTTGGGGCTTTGGGAAGTCAGGTCACTTTAAGCTTTGGCTTAGAACACCTCCCTCTCCCCAGCTTAGTCCCAAGTTAAGGTGAGGACTTAAACTAGAGATGAGCCTAGATTCTGCATTCTGGCGGGCAGCAGATCTGCAGGGGGAATTTGGAGGGAGGGAGATGGGAGCAATGCCAGTGCCCCTCACACCCAGCTGGGCAGCTAGGATGGTTTTAGAACTGTAATCTAGGTAAATCTGACCTGTTCACCTGGGAGCAGCCCAACTCCCAGGATGAGCTGGGTCCTATAGGAAGGATCACCTAGGAGAAGGTGAACTATCAGCGTCTGCTGGGGGTGGAGGGCCTCGCACCCTCACCCCTTCCTAGCACTCCTAGTCCACACCCAGAGGTGCTTTCCCCGCTTTTCACCGGGGGGTGGGAAAGGAGCACTTGGCCCCGGAGGGAATCCGGGCTGGGAAGGAGAATGAGCCAGTTACTTCCCTCACGTGTCTCTTCTTTGCCTCCTTCAGGTCCCACCTGAGGTGCCCCTGACTATCCCTGTCCCCCATCCCAGCCCGGATCCCGGCAATGCTAACCGCCGTCTGCGGCTCTCTGGGCAGCCAGCACACGGACGCGCCTGCCGCCTCCCCGCCGCGCCTCGACCTGCAGCCTCTCCAAACATACCAGGGCCACACGAGCCCGGAGGCCGGGGACTACCCCTCCCCGCTGCAGCCTGGAGAGCTGCAGAGCCTCCCGCTGGGCCCCGAGGTGGACTTCTCACAGGGCTATGAGCTGCCGGGGGCCTCCTCTCGGGTAACCTGCGAGGACCTGGAAAACGACAGCCCCTTGGTCCCGGGACCCTTTTCCAAGCTCCTGCAGCCGGACATGTCACACCATTACGAATCGTGGTTCCGGCCGACACACCCAGGCACCGAGGATGGCTCGTGGTGGGACCTTCATCCGGGTACCAGCTGGATGGACCTCCCCCACGCTCAGAGCGCGCTGACCTCACCTGGCCACCCCGGGGCGCTTCAGGCTGGCTTGGGGGGCTACGTCGGAGACCACCAGCTCTGCGCCCCGCCGCCGCACCCACACCCGCACCACCTCCTCCCAGCCGCCGGAGGGCAGCACCTCCTGGGGCCTCCCGACGGGGCGAAGGCATTGGAAGCGGCCGCCCCAGAGTCCCAGGGCCTGGATACCAGTCTGGACGGGGCGGCCCGGCCCAAAGGCTCCCGGCGGTCGGTGCCCCGCAGCTCAGGCCAGACCGTTTGCCGCTGTCCCAACTGCCTGGAGGCGGAGCGACTGGGGGCTCCATGCGGGCCCGATGGGGGCAAGAAGAAGCATTTGCACAATTGCCACATCCCCGGCTGTGGGAAAGCTTACGCCAAGACGTCACACCTGAAGGCGCACCTGCGCTGGCATAGCGGCGACCGTCCCTTCGTGTGCAACTGGCTCTTCTGCGGCAAGCGCTTCACGCGCTCTGACGAGCTGCAGCGCCATCTCCAGACCCACACCGGCACCAAGAAGTTCCCCTGCGCCGTCTGCAGCCGGGTCTTCATGCGCAGCGACCACCTGGCCAAACACATGAAAACCCACGAGGGCACCAAGGAGGAGGCAGCCGGGGCAGCTGCGGTAGAGGGCAAGCCTGGCGGAGTGGAGCCCCCCGGGGGCAAAGGCAAGCGCGAGGCTGAGGGCAGCGCGGCTCCCTCCAACTGAGCTCCTCCGTCCTGCCTCCCCGCTGGTCTTCCCTGGGGCCATCAGAAGAGAGCCCTCGGGCCTGATGCCCTGGTTGTGGGGGTGAGGGGGAGGTGGCTTGAGTAAGAGGAGAAAGTGGTTATTTATTGAGAGGCAGGAAAAGTGGTGTGGGGGTCAGGGAACCGGGGCGCTAGGGGTTTCGCAGTCTCTGGAGCTGGACAGGACAGGCGCGTTTGACTGTTTTGACTGGGCAGGGAGGAGCTGCGCATGCCGGGTCAGTTCTCCCCTTCCTCTCTACTTCACTCCTGCCCCTGGGCTGGAGGCTGGGGAGGGATACCCCTGTGGCGGCTGGAGGGCGGAGGGCACAGGTCGGAGGAGACGGCGTGTTTCCCGGGAGCAGAGGGGAGTGGGGCCGCCCCGGGCGCTGGGGATAGCTGTCTGGACACGTCCTTAGCGCCTGGGAACTGGGACATAAAAGGGCCTCCAGAGCCGCCCTGCGCCCCGGGTCCCTTTCATCCCCCTTAGATTGCTTTTACCCCAGGGTTTCCGGAGGGAGAGCTGAGATGGGGTATCAGAGGCTGGGGGTCCCCCTAAGGGAGGAGATTCTATCTGGCTAGGAGGGTTGTCGCCACAGAAGTAAACGCCTTTGATGTGCCTCCTTATTAAGCCTTCCAGACCCAGTCTGATGGAGCCATGAAGGAAGAGGGGAAGAGGGCCAGAATCCAGCAAGCTTCCAGCAAGACCAGTGGGGTGGAGGAGGCAGCTAGATGTGGGGGTTGAGCAAGGAAGTCTCTTCTAAAAACAGGAGAAAGGAATTCGGTCAGGGAGTGGAACTAAGCCTTTCCCTCTCTAACTCTGATTCAGACCTTAACTTTTGGTCTTTATAAAAATAAAATTCAGTAGCCCACTCTGGTCTGTCACCCCAGGTAGGGCTCCAAGGCAGCCAGGAGCCCCTGCTCCAGAATTGATGTAGTTCCTCACCCTAGGCCCCTCGGCATCTGCCTTCCCCTTAGGGAAAGAAGGAAGAGGGTTATCTTGGCTGCGTGGGGTTAGGTGGGAATGTCCCCCTCCAACTGTTTGGCTCTGAGTGGAGAAGTCTGTCCCTGCCTGGCCATCTTCTCTTCTCTGCTTCTTAGGGGAGAAGCTAAGCCCCACTATTTCTTTAGCTCGACCCTTCCCCTTTCCTGATGCCTACCAGCCTTGCTCCTCCTGTAGAGTGCGTTAGGAGGCTCCCCTTCCAAATGAAGAGGTTCTCTCGTTGGAAGGGGTCTGCCTTCTGAGGCGATGTCCAGGAGTCATCCCTGTTCCCTTCTTTAGATGCTAGAAGTACATCCTGATGGTGATCCTGGAGTGGGGAACGTGGGGCAGGGGGAAGCCAGCAGAGGCTGAGCCAGGCACTTGGAAGGAAGCTGATGGGGGAAGGGTCTGGTGGGCCATAGGACCCTGGAGCTAGTGGGCTTTCCCAGGCTCCAGATAGAGGTTTTAAGGTTTCCCCTGACCTCCCTTTACCCTGCCCTTCTTTCTCCACCCAGAGCCCTATGCAAGGGTTAGTTGTGTATTGATTTTTTAAGTTATAAGCAAAGGGTATTTTATTTAATATTAGGACATGTGTGTGCATGTTGTGTGTACCTATGTATGTGTGTATTTCTGTGTGTATGTGTGTTTCTCTACTGAGCCTGGGGTCTCCAGCCAGGGAGACCCCGTCTTGTTCAACCCAGCCAAGGTCCTCTGGCCTAAGGCCCATAGCATCTTTTCTTTGGGGATGCTGGAGCCCAGTCCAAGGACTGGGTGCTTTTTGGGAAGTGGGGCTGAAATCTGGGGGGGAATATGTTTGTGTAGAAGAGAGCCCTTCTTATGAGGGATAGGGTGACTCTCCCTGAAGGACCCATAGGGTAGGTTCAGAAGTCACGTCTTGTCTTTATGCTCCCTCTGTCCCTACCTCCTGCTTATCTGACCAGAGGTCCCTTTCCTTGTGGAGAGAGTTGGGGGCAGCAGAGAATGGGCAGTGCCTGCAGGTTGCCTGGCCCGGTGGACAAGGGGGAGGGAGAGAGGGTTCCGTGGGTGTGAGATGCCGTTTTCCTCCACCCATCGAAACCTGCCACCCCCTCCCTGTGCCACCAGGACAGTCTTTCCCAGTGACCATTCTCAGGGGAACTCCCTAGTGGGTGTTGGGGAGGGGGTACAGATATTCCCCCCATGGAGGCCCCGAGCTCTAAGGTGTGCGGGTGAGGGCTTTGGATAGGTTTTCTTCTCCCCTCTTTTATAGACCAAGGTTGCTTGGCTGTCTGCCCCCTTTTAGGCAGCCCCCTAGAGGAGAAATGTAGGATTTTTTTTTTTTTTTCTTTAACTGCTGTGAACCCACTTTAGGGGGGTGGGGGGAGGAGGAGGAAGAAGCGGCCTGTGTTTTTTATGCCATAATAAAGTCATCAACCACATCACTGCTTCATTTGTCTTCCAGCTCTGGCTTCCTTTTTGACTCAGGGTCCCTCAGCAGTGAGGACCAGGCTGGCTGCAGGGTGGGGTGGACACTTCTCTTTGATCCCGCAGCCCTGGGCAGCCTCCCCTCCCTTTGTTTGGGGGCAGAGCTGAGCTGATTGCAGGGTCAGATCCTGCCCTGCCCTGAGGTTGTTGGTGCAGGAGGAGGGTGGGGTTCCCTCGGGGTTGATAGCTGAGCCGACTGTCCCTCCCTGTTCTTCACCTGTGGAGATGAAAAGATTTTAGATATTTCCTTCCTCTTCCACATGCAAGCCCCTTCTTTAGCCTCCCCCACCAAGAATGCTGGTTCCCTGCCTTCCCAGAGATGGCCAGCCTCTTGGCCCCCTCTCCCCACTCCTGTGGGGGTGTGCCTGTCAATCAGGCCTTCTGGTTGTGAGCGAGGTGGGGGTGACTGACAGCGATTTCTTCACCCAGGATGATCCCTATCAGGGACAAGGTGATGAAAGGCAGCCCAGATATCTGATGGGCTCCCGCTCAGCTGGAAAGTATGAAGGAAAGGTTCCTACTGCAGCTCCCAGCTAGAGAGCAGCCACAGTTACACAATCACAGAAGTGCTTCAGTGAGTCCATGGGGCATCCCCAGATACGCACGAATGCATACTTTTCCAGGTTGCTCAGTGCATGGTGCACAGTCAGTGCCTGACACATGTCACAGTAAAAGCCTCATGACTCCAGAGTGCCAAACCTAGGAAGGTTGATAGGGATCAGTTTTTGGCTCCAAGGGTGCAGCGTAGGTTACTATATTCTTCCATCTTCCCATCCTACATGATGGCCAAAATTATCTACCCTAGTGGGACTCCTATTCCTCTCCCTCTAACCCTACCCGACTTTCTCAGAGCCAAGTCTGGTACCAGGTTGTTTGGGAGAATCTGATGTCCCAAAATTTCTTAAATGGGGGCACCAGCATGATTTAGGGATTACAGTGGACAGCAGACTGGGGAGGGGCCAAATATTTATTTTCATATGCTGCTGGACTTAGATGCCTGGGTGGAGGCGCGTTCCTGTGACCTCAGGCCCACTCCACTCCCTGCTACTTACTCTTCTTTTTGTCTTCCTGGTTCTGGGGACTCAGACCCCAGGAAACTGGCGAATCCTCTCCTCCTGCCCCCCATCGCTGCCCCCAGGGGACAGGAGGGCAGCTGTGGGGCCGGCCGGGCCTGTCTGGGCAGGGCTGGGGCTGCCCCTCCTCCCCTGGCAGCTCCTCCCGCTGACCTGCATTCTTAGCGGGGGCCTTTGGTGGGGCTCTGACGATTCGTCGCTCGCCCTGGCAGCAATGCCGCCTGGCTGCCCCCTCCCCGCGCAGTGGGGCCCAGGACCATCTCTGACCCCTCAGTTCTGTTCCCCCCGGCAGGACAGTCCTAGAGGGGCTGAGAGCAAGTTTGGGAAATAGGAACATGGGTCTGATCCCTCTGGGCAACGTCTCTGAGCCACTCTCTTCTCTCCTGGGAAGTGGGAGTAGAAGCCCTCTAGGGTGGGTGAGTGGAGTCAGGACCGGGAAAGTGACTGGAGAACCAGCAGCCTGGGAACTGCAGCCGGAGGCTGGGCTGTACGGCCCCAGGCCTCTCCTCCTGCCCGTTCCTGCCCCCCAGCGGGCACCTGGGGAAGTGCACGACATGAACTGGCTTTCCAGCCCAGCGAGGTGGGTGTTCAGTGTTGATCACCACACAGCCTTGATGTTTGCTTCTGGAATGACGTCCGGTGGCAACCTCAAGACCCCACCCCCACCCTGTACATCACACGAGAAGCAGCCTTCACGTCCCATTAATCCTAGCGAGTCTGACTGCTCAGCATCTGAGCAGTGTGGGTTTGAAAAGAATCTCAGGAACCAAGTAGTCCAGTTGTTCCCACCTGGAAGAGGGCATATTAGAACCATCCGTGGAGTTTTTCCAGAAACCCCGATTCACGCCCCAGCATCCCACCAAATTATGTCCCTTGGGGGTGCAGTAGAGCAGCGCTTCTCAAACTTTACACCTGGGGGTCTTGTTAACATGCAGATTCCCATTCAGTAGGTTTGAGGTGGGGCCAGAGATTCTGCATTTTTAACAAGCTCCCAGATAATGCTGATGCTGGCAATTCTCAGACACTTTGAGAAGCAGAGTATTAAAGTATTGTGCTATGCAATGGGAGTTGTGTGGTTGAAATATAATCCCTCCTCACCATGATTCAGAACCACTGATCTAGTCCAATGCCTTCATTCGTTACTGGAGACACTGAGGCCCTTGCAGGTAAAGTGACCTGCCCAAAGAGGCCTGCGGTGCTATGTTATAGCAGGAAAAAGGAGCAGGATGAGATGCTGGTCTGCACATTCCGGGTAATGCTTTTCTCCCTCCAGCCCAGCTTCTAGGTCAACCTTCTGTTCAAGTGGCAGTCCCTTTTCTGAAAGTGACACCCATTTCCCTGGAAACTGCACCCTCTTGGGAGCCAAACTTGTTTAGCTGGAGGCAATCAGAAAATGTCTCAGGACTTTCCAAGTGGTTAAGAATCTGCCTGCCAATTCAGGGGACACAGTTCGATCCCTGGTCCAGG